AGTTATTAGTAGTAGTTAGTAGTAGTAGTAGTAGTAGTAGTAGTAGTAGTAGTAGTCGTCGCAGCAGCAGCAGCAGCAGGAGTAGTAGTAGTAGTAGTAGTCGCAGCAGCAGCAGGAGTAGTAGTAGAAGTAGTAGTCGCAGCAGCAGCAGGAGTAGTAGTAGAAGTAGTAGTAGTAGTAGTAGTAGTAGTAGTAGTAATAGTAGTAGGCGTACGCGCGGACCAGGTAGTACTAGTACTAGTACTAGTCGTCATGCTCGGCGTCGTGCTCGTGCTGGTCGTCTTGCTCGTTCTCGTCGTCGTGCTTGTGTTCGTCATCGTGCTCGTGCGTCTGGTAGTGCTCCTTCTCGTCGTCGTCCTCCTCCTCTCCTCGTCCTCCTTCTCCTCCTCCTCCTTCGTCGCGGTGGTCGTGGTGGTCGCGGTGGTCGTGGTGGTCGTAACAGTAGAACAGCTTCGGGGGAGGCCACTACAGTCAAGTGTCAGAATTTGGAAGGCATCGCGCCACTGCGCAGCCCGTGCACAGGTAGTGATGATGGCCTGAAATCCTGGGGAGTGCTTGGAGACTTCATTTTCAAGGGTCGGGCGCAAATCCTGAACCCCAAGACTTTTTTGCAATCAAAATCCCCGAGCTCGAATGTGGGATGCCTTGCTACTGCCAGGAGGTTGAACTTGAAATTTGATTTACCGGCTTCGCCAGGAACTCGTGCGCACCAGCAGGAAGCCTTTCAGGTCCCTTCTCCCATCCTGTGCCTTCGGGCTTGGGATTTGTGGTCCAGGGCAATGTCAGGCAGGCTCGGGGGTTTGGCCCTGGGGTGGTTCTATCACCCAAGTGCTCCTGATCCCAGCCCCTGCGCGCTTCACTAGCCAAGTGGCCGTGTACGTCTAATCCCAGGCGTGACCTGGGAATCGCATCAAGTACAAGTCGAGTACCAAAGTAACTCCAAGGTTCATTTGCCGGCTTGTGGGTGAAAACATCCCGAATCATAAACGCGAGGCCGCCCCAGGGCGAACTTCGGGGATCCAGCCCGGGCCCTGCCTTGTACAGTAGGGAGTAGGGCTGCGCGGGATATATTCGACTACAAGTTTCAGCAAGCCATAGAAGAGCACGGCTTTTAGTTCTTGAAGCTGCTTGAGAAACCTTCCATTCAGGGCAGCTTCAAGGCTGTAGGCCCTGCGCGTGTCTTGTTTGTCCTGAACTATGCATCCGCCTCGAACCCTGGGCCCTCTCTACCCTGAGCCTTTCGAGTCTCCATACACAAAGCATCCCACAACACATCCCTTCCGAACCGTACGACTGCTTCTAGCTGTCCGCCGCACTTAGCCTTACATGTCCCAGTGACTCTGGGCTTTCGATGAGCAGATCGGCCACGTCGAGTCTGACAGGCTTCAGAAGCGGCCGTGCTTTTGGGGGGTCGGCCTCGCGACTCAGGATTATCACAAAGCCACAAAGGCAAGCGTTCGTTCGCCTGTGCACAGCAGTGAGATGCGTCCGTCTTTAAGGAGAAGTTCTCAAGTTGAGGGCTTGCGGATGCTTTTGGCCTTCTGAAATTATTAGGACACTGGGGCATGAGCTTCGGGCATCTTCGATAGATGCACCCAACACCTGTACTCGTGCTCACACCAGTGGCAGCAGTAGTGCTGTTTCGCTGATGGCTGCTTGAGAGATCACATGCCTTCGGAATTGGGGCCTGGACGAAGGCTGTCCGCGTTCGCCAAGCAAACGGTCCTGCCCGCTCAACTCGTAAGGCCCACGGCGCATGGTTTGATGTTTCAGAGCAAGTTCTAAGTTTAGAGTAGAGTTGTTGGCTCCACAGTGCGGAGCCAAGCAATCAGGATGTGCACGGGCTCCCGCTGGAGTTTGAGAAAGGGTGGTTCGGCTGACAGGACAATTGACCAATTGAGAAAACAGAAGGAACGGATACGAGGTGGGTCCAAAAGAGACCACGACAAATGGCTGCATGCGATGAGCCAAAACGTTGAAAGGCTGTGATCCCAAGCCATACGCCCTTAACAACCCTTAAGCCTGCAGGCACCCCCCAGCCTGGCGAGAGGACGCCAGGGAATGTGGCATGTCTCATGCAAAGCTTTCGCGCTTCTGAGCCGGAAAAATCCTACGTTTCACAACAAGGGCATTGACCAATCAAGCAAACGGAGGTTGTCCAACGCCGTCAGCCAGGGTCCATGAGTCTCTCCTAACCTCCATAGTCCATAGCCCTACAAAGAAAACACAAGTCAAAAGACGCGCATGGCCTTTCCGGAAGCTTCGCCGGAGCTCGACATGGCAGCGCGCTGGCGCTGCCACAGCTTCTGCCATGGAGACCCTTGGCCCTTTAGGGCTTTCAGGATTGACAGTTTCGCAATCAAACGTCAGAAAAGCAATCAAGCCATCCAGTCAGCCCTTAGGGGACCGCAGCGGACTGCAAGGGATTGAACTTGTTGGGCTAATGTTCCAAACGTTTTGACTTGAAGGATGAGAACTTTAGTCATGCGCGCTGTTCCGAGTTACGTTTCAGAAGACAGAGCTTCAAAAAGCGCATCAGAAAACCTGAAGGCCGAGTGAGCTGCGGCGGATAGTCACATCTCGCGAGAAGGATGTAGCATTCCACTGCAATGTTGCGCTTGAAGAATATCTTTACAGCTATGCTATGACCAGCGGTGCATTAGCGTCAGCATCATCATCATCATCGTCATCATCATCATCGACATTATCATCATCCTCGCCGTCGTCGTCGTGACGATCATGCATGGTCAAAGTTAGTATGGCCGCTATAGTCATCGCTAGTGATATTACTCCCAGTGTCAGTATGTTACAAAACGTCATCATCACCACTACTGCTACCGCCAGTACTAGTGTCGCCATCGTCAGCATCATCTTCTGCTTGTGGACAAGCAGCAATCAAAAGACTCTCATGTCCGCGAGATAATAAGTTTAGAGTTTTGTCACAAAAACTCGTCCTAAATCACGTGCCAGACCCCCAAGCGACAGAAGACTCTCCTCGAAGAGCGCGTAGTAGATCCTCAGACGACATTAATAACTCTACAACCCCGATTGAAATAGCACTACAAGACGATAATGATGAAGATGATCATCGATGATCATCGTGGCCTTGGCGGAGGTGGATGACGATGATGATAATGATGACGAGGATGATGAGGATGAGCATGATCGTAATGATGAGATGATCATGACGATTATGATGAAGAAGATGCTGATGAGGGTTCTGATGACGATACTGAAGAGGGAGCTGGGTATGCGAATGATGGCGAGGATGATGAAACGGACAATAGTGTTGGTCAGAGAGCAGGAGCAGCAGCAGCAGCAGTAGCAGCAGTAGCAGTAGCAGCAGCAGAACCAACAGCAGAAGCAACAGAAGCAGGAGCAGCGGCGGTGGCAGTAGCAAAAGCAGCAGCAGTAGCAGTAGCGGCGGCAGTAACTCAGCTGCAGCAGACAGCAAGACCGACGCTGGTACAAGGGGTAGTGGTAGTGGTAATGGTAGTGGCAGTGCTCGTGGTAGTAGTAGCAGGAGTAGCAACAGGACTTGTTAGAGCAGTAGTACTACTACTACTACTACTCCTCCTCCTCCTCCTCCTCCTCTTCCTCCTCCTCCTCCTCCTACTACTACTACTACTACTACTACTACTACTACTAGTCATAAAAATAG